AGGGGGGGGGTCAAATTGACCCCCCCCCCAGCGTATCCTGGTTTTCAAGTACCCCAGCGGGGATAGGGTTAAGCACCCGTAGGCCAATTTGCCTCAAATTTTGATTGGGGGACCTCAGGAGAACCACGGTAATGTTAAGTTTAGCTTTGTTTTGAAATTCCAAGTTGAATGGGTCGACTTTTATAGGGAAAATAGATAAAATTATTTACAACCAAGTGCGGGTAAACGTCAGGAGTAATAACTATACTTTATTGCATCTCTTTACATCTCTTTAAAATTTGCAATACATGCCTGCATTGGGTTCGTTTCGTTTGTTCAATACAAATTAAAAGCAAAGATGTGAACCAGGGTCAATTGGAACTCAAACTAGACCGACCCCTTGTACCAGGGATTAGTGTTGCACTGTGCCAACTTGGGTTCAACTTGATGTCGCGGCCAGACTTTTTACAGTACCTGACCTATTATAGGTCTAATTGACCTATGCTAAAAACTTTAGAATGGTGGATATCGAGATCAATGCTTAATCTCATCTTTTTCTTAATCTCCAGATTGAATAATGCTTGTTTTGCTCTTGTTATTAATCGTCAGATTAATTTACCGATCGGGATTAAGGATATCCCATTAAAAAGGTCCCAGCTCTACCCCACTAGCTTAGTTTACTGTGGATACGAAGAGTAAAGTTCATTCAAACAATTTGATTTTAGATAATTTAGATTTTAGCCTTGGGTTAGTTTTACAGAATACTCTGGTAAGATTCTAATTACAAATTGTGAACTAGAGAAATATATGAACAAACAATATATGTGCAAAGTTATCATACTAATCCGAAGACATTATTATAAAATTTTTATTTCAATAAATTATTCACAATTAAATCATGAAAAATGACAAAAATATTTTTGCAAATTTCGCAAAAAATAGTTGTATTTTTTTAATTTTGCTTTTTTTGCAGTAGAGCCCAAGTGCTTTCCAAAAATGTACTAAATGTTATAGATTTGTATCACAAATACTAGTCTATTATAGGAAAAGGAGATGTCAGCCTGAATAGGGTTAGGTATAATCTAAAGGGACTGTAAGCGTAATTTTATGTGACTCTGCTTGCGAAGATGGCAATGTCTGATCTAGAAAAGTATGAATTATGATTATAAATCAATGTTATTGTATTTTTTACTGTTTTTTTTTGGCGGTTTCTCTACGAAGTGAATATACTTTCTTTAACTCCCGTGTGTTATGACTCATGTAGTTAAGAAAGCTGATTTTCTTTACATTTTTATATAAATTTAAATTAGGGCTGGGTGCTTTCCCGGCGGAACGAGTGTTCTTTTCTGAGAATGAACGAAACAATCAAGAACGATCCTATCGTTCCGAAAAAAAAACAAATGATTAGAACGCGTTCTTAAAAATGTGGAACGATTAGTAAAAGAACGGAACAAGACGCGAGTTGCTTAAAAGAACGGTTAAAATCCTTTAACCCTTTCTTATTATCAAGAACGCGTTCTTAGTTGGGAACGCATTTTAAATCAGGAATGTGTTCTAAATCATTTAGAAATAGATTTTTTGATTTAATCACCTGACCCCCCTCCTCTCCCCCCACTTTAAACTCGCCACCGGGGTTCCCCGGTCTCTGCTAAACTGACAACAGACTACACAGCAAGTTTCAGTTTAACTTCTGTATATTGTACATATTAAGGATATTAGCACTCCCGCCCCTTCCCCCGCTCTCACAAAATTATACATTGCTCAGCTTATCTAAGCTTATTCTTTTAACCCTAAATTTAAAATAAATATTTTAAAGTTTACGGCCGTGAGGAACTTTTTATTAAAAAATCGTAATTTTTTTACTTTTTAACCAAATATTTTCTATACAAATTTTGTCTTGGATGGACGGAACGGGGGAAGGAAACGTTCTTGATTAAGAACAGAACAACCGTTCTGCAACTAAGAACGGAACGGAACGGGAAGACAGTTATTCTACTAAGAACGGAACGGGATGGAACAAAACGAGAACAGAACGATAAAAAAGAAACAAGAACAGAACGATTTAGCTGTAGACCCTCGTTCTAGAACGGAACGGAACAATTTCAAAAAAGTCGGAACATGTCCAGGCCTACTTGCGCATTTTCATGCATATAAGAAACAATGGAGATTTTCACAGAAATAAACACTTTTCAAATCAGAAGAACGATGTTAACTTCCATAATATTGATCAGAATAATGGTTTCAGGGCGACGTTGTAAAATCGGGCAGTGCCATCTTTGGACGGAGGCTCACATGCTAGAACTGTAAATAAAATTATAAGTGACCCTCACGTTAAGACAATTACAGATTATAGCTCCCTCATTATCAGATAAAGATAAAGACTTCAAGGGTGACGTGCCTTTGGAAATAGGGTGGATTTGTGAACTGGGTGCCTTTGGGAAATTGGCCTTTGTGAATTGGTACTTTCGTGAATTGGGTGCCTACTGCCTTTGTGAATTGGGCCCCTCTTTCAAATGAAAAATAACCTAAAATTACAATGACAGTCCACATTTCATGATTTCTTCTGTATATTACCTAGGATAGAGCCAAAGTTCGGTAAACTCTCAGATATGAAGAGAAGCACAAGAACAACTACAGTTCGGAATGCACATCTCCAAATGTTAAAATCTAGAAATACATATAAATGCAGTGGGACCCAGAAAACCCAAGAATAAGAAGATGTCTTTTAGGTTCAAAGTAAATATTCCATTATAAACAGACCCAGACTCGTAAATTGATCTAATCATTTTTCTAGTGAAGTGAACCTATTAGATTTGTAACAACATCAAATACGATAAATGCTTTAATGTGTTTTTTCAAACTCAAACAATATAAATCAGATAAGCTGAGCTAAGCATACTACCCACAAAGAACAAGAGTATAAGAAGGACTTGAAGCTCATTAAGTATGCTTTTAGTTGCAAGGAATCATGAATATAAGAAGGACTTGAAGCTCGTCAGGGAATCATGAATAAATGGAAACAAACAGTATAAATTCCGTTAAAAAAAAATTTTCTGTTGATTGTTAAATTGGGTAAAAAAAAAATTTCAAATTACTTTTTGGAATATTAAGCAGTTCCTCAAAGAACTGATTTGGCGGATTTATCATGATTGGAAAAGCTGCAATTAGATGAAGGAGTAGAAGCACTTCAGTAACTGTTTTCACCTGGAAAAAAAGAGACAGCTAAAGCTTTAAAATAAAGCTCTTTGCTAATAAATATATATGCATATGTATAAATATTCATACTGATGATTGCATACAAGCATGAAACAATTTGTTAATGAATAAAATGTTACAAGAAGATTGTTGCGTTTCAACTGATATGAATATATGTATGAAAATAAGTATTCAAAACATGATTTTTATCGTATCAAAATTATGGTTCATATATTTATATATGTTAGCTATATCTGGCCAAACGGTTGAACCAAATGGGCGGAAATTAGTTGAGAGAACCTATGAGTACCAAGGGGTAACATAGGCTAAAACATAACTCGAAATTTGTATTCCACAGGCAACGCCGGGCACTTCAGCTAGTGATATTTATAATTGTGATAAAAAATAAACGGAGATAAAATTTGTTACACTACCAAGAAAAGAATATATCTTGTTACATTACAATTAACGTCTAAGTGACAAAAAAAAAAACGTTATACTTTTCTTCAAATGTTTAAAAAATTTGCAAATCAAAGATGTATATGATTTGGTATTTAAAAAACAAATGATATGTTAATCTAAATCGATAGTTATTATTTAGATATGTTAAATTAAAATTTTCTCGGATTTTTTTTCTTGAGAGGAGAGATAAAATTTGCCTTAAATGAGTTAACATAATTAATTAATTTTAATTGATATTTTGAATAATCTTACTGTTCCGATACAGAGGGATTCCACAACATTATTATTCACTTCTCCTCCTAACTGGAAGTATCCAACAGCTGCCATTGGTAGGTACAGGATAACCAGTACTAGAATAGGAGTACAGTACAGTACAGATTAACCAGTACTAGAATAGGAGTACAGTACAGTACAGTACAGATTAACCAGTACTAGAATAGGAGTACAGGACAGTACAATACAGATTAACCAGTACTAGAATAGGAGTACAGTACAGTACAGTACAGATTAACCAATACTAGAATAGGAGTACAGTACAGTACAATAAAGGATAACCAGTACTAGAATAGGAGTACAGGATAACCAGTACTAGAATAGGAGTACAGTACTGCAGTACAGTACATGAAAACTAGTACTAGAATAGGATTACAGTACAGCAACGTTCAGTGCAGGATATTGCAAATACTAGGATTAGGATCCATGTTTCACAGTTTGAACATTTTGAAATGGCTCGATCAATCTGTGTGAGAATTGTCAACGAGTAAAGTTAACAATTCCCTAAATAAATTAAAATTATGGAGTTATTTATGACTTTTTGTTGTTATTTATTTACATTGATAACTCAAGATACACTTCTTCAGTGTAGGAGTACAGTTTATTAGAACAATTATTACTCTACACCCCCCCCCTGGCCTCTTATCATGCATTTCAACTTTCCTTTTATTGAAAAATGCAAATTATTCTTTTGCTAGAATCCAACTTACACGGAAATCATTTTTGATGGAAGAATTTTAACAAGGAAAATTTTAAAAATACTTTTTTCCTAACTCTGCTTTCAAATAGTTTAAAAACAAGAGATGTAAAATCTTGCATATAAATTAATCAAAAGTTAATTTTCGAAAACCTCCGTTTCGTTAACGGAAATTTGTCCAGTTCTACCTTTAATTTGTTTCACAGCTTGTATTTACTGAAAGAAAGTTCGTTCTTGAATACTGTAACCAACCCTTGCATTTCTTTTCCAATTTTTTTCAATTAGGAATTTAGAAGAAATTTAAGCGCTCTAGAGTTTTTTAGTCTTTTTTTAATAAGAAAACACCACAAAGAGATAAAAGATTGAAAAAATCTTCTTCTTTTTATAAATTTAGGCTCAATTTTATTTTAGGAATACCTCTTTACGTATAGCTTATTTTAACGATTAACAAATTTAACAAACTAGCCATTTAGGGCGCTTCGCGCTTATCTTCTATTTCAACTTTTAATTGTGGCTCTATCTGTGGGCATTTTGTTTCTAAACACACATAATGATATATCAAATCATCGCTTCAAGGTGTAACGCTTTCGATATCTATCACGCTTAATATTTATGAATCTTATTTGGTCAAAATTGTATTGAGAACTAAGTTTATTACTTTTAACAACACATTTTCCGAAAAGAATTTGTACAAAAAAAAAATTTTTGTGCCTCTTTTTCTAAATTTAAATCTTTTTTTTCTAATTTAAGAGAAATTTACATTAATTTTGTCGGGGTAATAAAAAGATTTTAAAACAGGTACTTTAATATTGATCTTTACCATTACTGAAGTACTAAAAGGCACTGTGGGTGTAATTATTGCATTCGTATACTTACAACAGGAATGATCAATGAGTCGGACTTATTCTTATAAATCTATAGAAACATACGTATATGCTGTTTAATATATCGAAACTATTTATATTTATTTATTTATATTTACACTAGGCTTTCATGGGCCCATCTTCGATTTCAATTGTGAACATTTTCTCTTTAAATGCAAACAAAAAACCAACAAAAAAAGTTCGCGGATTTTCTACTTACTAACAGTACACAGAACTGCAGATTTAGGAAATTCCCTTCTATCTCTCATATCAGCCTTGTAATACAAATAATAAGTTGAATAATTAAGAAATAAAAATAAAATAGAAATAAAAAATTGCAAAAAGAGAATTTTCCAAAAATTAACATTTAAGTTAATTTTACTTACTTACTGTTTGTTTTCACTATTTTTTGAATCTGAAGCCAATACAATATTATTTCTATGTTCTTCATTACAATACCAACAATATAAAATTATGTATTCGGAAATCTTGGAAATCATCCATTAACTTCTTTTCTCAAGCTAAACCATTCTAGCAAAATCTTTTACTTTTTATTTTCTGAGAAACAAACAATATGAACAATAGGGTTAAGTGCTAACCGTTTATTCTGTACTAGGCTTGACTTTAACTTAAAATTGTTACTCTATCTGCGGTATTTTCTCTTCTTGAAGTATCAATTTATCAGTTTATCAGTTTTATCCAATATTTTCTCAAAGAGTTTTAAAAATAAAATTTTTTAGGCAAATTTTTAAAACTCTGACCATCCATAACCTTCCGATGGGTTCAGCCGTTTTGATGTTTATTGGAGTAATTGAGAACAATGAACAATAATAAGGACAATTTCATTGAAACTTCCATGTTTAAAATTTTGTTTGTGGATTTTTTTAAAAGACAATTCTAATCCTATTGTTACTTCTTAGAAAACCAACCCCTGTAGACATTCAGGCCCCCTCATCTTGCAGCTTAAAATGGGGCACTTTTTGTAATCATCATAGATATGAATAGCACTATATAGTATATACAGTAAAACTAAAGGCATATAAATGATTTTTAAGTGGAATTGGTCTGTGTTACACGGAACAATTGCTGTGCCTCATGTCCATAGGTCATAACTTGAGCATAAAAGTCCTTATTCTTTTCCAGAGTTTTCTGGTTCTCACTGTAATAGAGCTTTGGATCTTGAATATCTAGAATTACCTTTAAAGAACCCCTCCGCTGATGGCGCGGGGAACACAGGCTCCCATGAACCTACAACGTAAAGTCCTTATAAGCCAAAATTGTTTAACAAAATAAAAAATTTGTGGAAAAATCTTAATTTATCTGTTCATTTAGATCTGGTAGCTACCTATAATTTCCTGGCATTTTATAAAAACCTAAAAGCTTGTACTTTTTACTATTATAATCACCCAGTTCATTGTAGTAGAAGCTTGAACTTTGTTGACTATTATAGTTACCCAGTTCGATGTAGTGACAGCTTGTATGATCCCGGGCTATTATCGTTGTAGTAGCAGCCAGCAGGTTGTACCATCCAGCCTGGACTATCATTCTTAACCAGTTTGTTGTTCAGTGTAGTAGCAGCTTGTACTGTCACGAACATCTAGAGATTCTTTAACCATAATGATGATACAAGCTGTTGTTGTTGTTATTAAAGCTGACACAGCAATCTGCCTTGAAAATAAAACAACACTTTTGTGCAGGAAAGGAAAAAAGAAGTATTGTTATTATGTTATCTTGATTTCCTGCATTTAGTTTTTAAGATGCCAAGCCTAATTTAATAAAAATCATGATATCAATAATTATTTTTGTAGTGAATGATTACCAAAAATCATTAGGTGTTCCCAACCAACAGACTGGACACATACCAACAGCAAGCACAACCATCCATATACAGGGATTCATCTAGCATATAGTAAGGTTATAATATCCTGGACTAACCCATAATCTACAAAGGATAGTTGACATGTACCGGGGGTCTAATGTGGGTTAGGAAAATTTCAAGGCAGGATCTTTTAAAAGCACATTTTGCTAATACAAAAGAAAATTTGTGTTTCTTTGACAATAATGTGCACAACACATATGATAACCCTAAAATATCCATCTTCATTGATTGATCTTGAAATATACAAAAATAAACAGCTGTAAAATTTATAAATTCCATCTGGGCGGTCAGCGTCAACGCTATATAGAAGCGCTTTAGATAGCAGTTGAAATTGGAAGTTTCTTTTATATTTTTTATATTAAATTTTTTTTAGGTGAACTTGATCCAGGCTTCAAAGAAAATGATTATATGAACAGAATGTCCTAAATCATATTGAATCATGCATAGCTCTAATTTGAATTTTGTGATTTTGAGATAAACAGAAAATCTTTAGATAATAGTTTAATTAGTTTTGGTTTTCAAGCTTGAAGAATTTGATATTATGCCCTCTGAACATTAAGCTATAGATAAATAAAATTTATATGTTTACCTCAAACCCTGCTGCTACAGCCAGGTTATGAATAAAGGTCGACATAATAACAATATAAACACATCCTGTACCGTACTGCGTTATACTGATACACACAAGAGAAACAATCCTGGAAATGTAATATTTGAGAAAATTAATCTTTATTTTAAGCTGATCCACATTATGACAATTATGAATTGATATCTTTGTATTGAGAAATGTAAAAATTGACCTGGCTGTTTTTCCAACAGCCTTTTCAGCTATTGCAGGATAGGGGTCTCTGACCTAGAGCAAAACTTAATAGGTCTATGCAGTCAAATGTTGTTTCTAAGCACATACGAGCATTTGTCACCTGTTCTCTAAACTCTGGATATCTTTCCTCCAGTATAATCCAGCAGTAGCCAAGACGTGTTCCAACGAATACAGCAAATATGGCAAATATCACAATAAGAGCTAAACCAGCAGGACCTAAATCAATAGGATTGTTGATGCTGTTTTAAAAGAACTTCCATTGATCAGTAGATGGCATGTAATATTCAGAATGCATCCATAAAATCTACAAGTTGAAGGGCAAAAAACAATATATAATTAAACAAAATGTTTGTAAACAATTGAGACAATTTTTAATTAGGTATTGGCAGTTTTTGATTTATAAAAAATGAACTGATAGTTTTATTTAGTGAAAAGGAATTCAGTGTGTTTTTTAACAGTATTTCTTTAATGATGATTGTTCTTTAATGTCAGATACCACTATTACCAACCTTCCAACACTAACAATGATAGCATACTTTGCTAAGGTTTTTTAAGGCTTATTAGTTTCGAAAAGTAAAAGCAAAACAAAAAATGATAGCTTTGTAACTTCCACTTTTAAAAATTATGCCCATTTCTATTTCCATAGTACAAGCGTCAGACACACAAATGTTGGACTGTACAAACCTAAGACTTGTAAAAAAATCTCATAGTAAACCCCAAACCTAATCACCTGTCCAACGTTTGTACTGGTCAGACGTTTGTACTAGTCTGATGTTTGTCTCAGTCCGACGTTTGTACCAGACTGATGTTTGTACCACTGTAGTCCGACGTATGGAAGTCCGATGTTTGTACTGTCTGACCTTTGACATTCGACATTAGTGGGTCGGATGTTTGTACTGGTACCTAGAGGTATTGTTCAGTAAATTTTGAACAACCAACCCGGTTCATAAATGATTGGTTAATCATAAGGCACTGACTAGGTATTATAGAATAGGGCTGGGCGCATTCCTGGTGGAACGATCGTTTTTCCCCGAGAACGAAAGGAACAATGAAACTATCAAGAATGATACCATCGTTCGGAAAAAAATGAACGCTTAGAATTCTGAGCGTGTTTAAAATTATTGGAACGATTAGTAAAAGAACGGAACAGAACAGGAATTGCTTGAAAAGAATGGTTAAAATCGTTAACGCCTTCTTATTATCAAGAACGCGTTCTAAGTTTGAAACGCATTTTGAATCAGGAATGTGTTCCAAATCATCTAGAAATAGTTAAATATTTTTTTTTTAACCACCTGACCCCTGGCCCTATATCTTTGAATCCTATGTTGTAGACCTTAAATATTTCAAACTATGAATTCTGTTGGATCAAATGATCTAAGTTTAAAATATTGAAGACTTACACCATCAGGTTGCAAAGTTAATGTGATGAGAAAATTTAAGTTAGTGGCCATGACTCAATTCCTCGTATTAATCAACAATATATGTGCAGAAAATTAGCACGTTTTGCACAAGGGTTATTTTATTGCACATTGCACAGGATCTGGTGGGAGCAACTTTCCAGATTCATCTCTCTCTGCACCTAAACTTCAAATACAAGGAAAATATAAGGGATTAGAAATTCAGAGCGCTTTGTGCATTTAAGTCAAATTAAATTTTCTGCTACTTAGAACGGGACGGAACGGAACGAGAACGTAACAATAAAAAAGGAACGAGAACGGAACAATTTAGCTGAAGGACCTCGTTCTAGAATGGAACGGAACGATTTAAAAAAAGTCGGAACGTGCCCAGCCCTAGTAAAGAACCATTACTGATGCGTACCAGCGTCTTACAACCTGGCATTTGTCAAGCTGGGTAAACGGTACAATCTTTAAAGTATTGAATCTGAAAACCTCCCACAGCCCAGACCGCCATAGGAGCTAACACCCTGAGCTCATGGACTAATAGTTCTGTTAAAACAATACCCATTCTGTAGTCATAGCATGAAAATATAACTTTGATAAGAGGTTATTACTTATTACCTGTTCCAATCATAGCACTGGGTAGAGCTAGAACTCCACTACCAGCCATCTCTCCAGCCAGGAACAGACCTGCTACCAGCATACTTAATCCATGGGACTACAAATACATGTATAACTTCAATAATCAATTAATCTCAGGGGTTTCTTTTCAACTCGAGACAATGGAGAATCACCAATGTGATATTTATATTAGCTTTACACCTTTTAAAGAACATTGCATAAAATTAATTTTATAAATGATAACATTTCATGACCAAGTTACATTTCTTTGTGTTATTATATAAACAGCATCATATAGTAGTCTAGGTGTCTGTCTAAACTGTATACATGCTAATATGAAATGATAACCCTATTCCTCCTGGGGGAGGAGGGGTGGCAATTTGACCCCCCCTTGAGTTTTTTTTTACAAAACTCAAAAAGTATTGGTCTCAGGCTATTGAAATTTTCTGACTTTTCCTAAATACCCATAGCCATCCCCTTAGGTATCAAACCGGGCTATACTAACTGCCTCAGGCACACTGCCTTAATGACCAATTTTTCCTGTAACAAACCAAATCTTTGTTTTGACCCACTTTCAGACTGTAAGTTTCAGTTGTCAGATTTTGATAAACTTTAGCTTTTTGGAAAGCCCATGACATAAGGAAGTGTATTGCACACGTTTTGCAATGAAAATTTAGCTAATTTTTTGCATACAACCAATCAAAAGAAATTTGCACATTTTTGGTTTTTCTTAATTACACATCAGGTTATTTAAAATTTTGAAAATTGTTTTGCATATTTGAAATGGCATAGTTAAGGGCTTTAAAAAATGCATATTCAATCATTTTTGGGACATTTTTTTTGCAAACATTTTTACTATAAAACGGGATTATTCCATAATTTGGCAAATTTGCAATTTTTTTGCAGATTCTAAAAGTAGGGCATAGGAGCATGATGTATAATTTGTCATACTTGGACACTAAACATGGGATTTAGAGGGGGGGGGGTCAAATTGATCCCCTTCCAGCATATCCTGGTTTTTAAGTACCCAAGAAGGAAAAGGGTTAATACATAAACAATGTTGGATCTCTGAAATATATAATTTGAAATATACAATTTATAAAATGTCATATCTGTACGTTAAGTATCAAAACTATTAATTGTCTAGATGTGAGTGACCAAAATGTCAAATTAATACTAATTTACCTTAACCATCCCATCCTCTTCATCTATTGCTGAACCCATCCTCAATACTGATTTCTGAAAAAATATGGAGGAAAGAATTGTTCTCACTTTTTTAAAATGTGACAGAAAACAGTTTAAAAGTTTGAGTAAATGAGTTATCTTGCAAAAAAATAGGAATTTCATTATTGAGCTTTTTGCTGACATGAATAATACAAATACTGGGACAAGAGGGGCTGTAGCTGAGTATTTGCATATTCATGAATATAACATAAATTATAGATTTGATACAAGGATGACCTGAAAATAATGATAATATTGGAATTTAATCTAAACAAAACCGGTTTTTAAGGAGTGTCAAACAAATTTATAGGGGTGTTGGAGGGGGGTAATAACAAATATAAGAAAATCTGCAGCAAGGAAATAACTAAGTCATATTATGTCTAAGTGCTAACTAAGTGCCATTTCTTTTTAAATACTTTATTAAAAATATTCTGCATGTGAAAAAAGATTGAAGATAAAAGGAACTGAAAGTTTAAAAAAATTTTACGACGCATAATCAGTTTTTTATTGCTGATAGACTTCGGTTCGGTAACATTGGCATGTTTATTTTTTTCAAATCAATCATTATCGGTCATAGAAAAGACACGGTTCGTTTTTCGTTTTTTTCTACGTCATTAACAAAACTATCAGTAAATTTTCATTAAATTTTGAACACAAAAGTTTAAAAAATTTACTGGTATTATAAAAAGCATTCGTTTTTAAATTTTTTTTTTTAAGAAAAGTTTATTTCTTTTGTTAACAATTTGGCAATTTTCGTTTGTTAATTAACACTGCGGTTCTCAGAATAATGCCTTGTCCTATGCGTAGCTTGTGAATAAAATACAAAATATATAGATATTGAATAATCTGGAAAATTGCATAGAATATATTAATGATAGAACATGGGGATGTTTTCAGAATTTCATCATCACTGTAATATAACTTGCCACAGTGATCTAGGTTGAAAGCTTTTACGAAAAAACGCATTACAATTTTTTGATATAATTGAAACTAATGATAGAGATGAGTATCTTGTCGTTTTTTTTACTGAACCACACAATTTTCCAAAAGATTTAGAAGAACCATCTTTCTTTTTTATTAATTTTTTTTCATTGCTTGAATTTATAATAATTTACTTTTGTTCTGTTGTGGTGTAGGAATGTAATCATTTTTAACCAATAGCCATATATATCACACTGGTGTAAACCTTCATATTGTTTGATAGGTGAAAAAAAACTATTTTTACTTATTAAACACTTTCTTTGAACTTCTTGAAAAATTGTTAAAATCACATGTTTTGTAGACGGTATCTGTCAAATATTTCTTGTTAAATGGAGAAGATGAAATATTTTCATATCTTCGCCAATATTTGAACTTCATGTCTTTGAAGCTCTGAACAAACACTACTATAGATATATTCAAGTATATTTATTATTAGATATGTATGTCGTTTGTAATTAATTTTGTATTTGTAAAAAATCATTTAAAATTTGAACATAATTTTTGTTAGTCATTTATTTTTGAAAAAGTAATGAAAACAAAGATTATAAATAAAAACCAAAAAAAAAATTATTTTTAATTTGTTGAAATGTAAATATTGAATAATTGAATTAGTCGGGCGTGCAAAGATAAGAAAGGTAAACCAATACTTAAGTTTTTATAAATTTCTTGTCGAGAGTATTTTCACACGATCCTTCATTTTGGCCAATATATTCTTCTTATATTCTTCTTATATTCTACTTATATTCTACTTATATTCTACTTATATTCTACTTATATTCTACTTATATTCTACTTATATTCTACTTATATTCTTCTTATATTCTTCTTATATTCTTCTTATATTCTTCTTATATTCTTCTTATATTCTTCTTATATTCTTCTTTTATTCTTCTTTTTCTTCTTAAATTCTTTTAAATCATTTTAGTATGCTTCTAATATTCTTCTAATATTCTTCTTATATTCTTCGTATATTCTTCATATATTATTCATATATTCTTCTTTTATTATTCTTATATTATTCTTTTATTATTCTTATTATTCTTCTTATATTCTATATTTCAAAGTGTTGCCTCCCCCCACACCCTTCCCCTAGTTTTTGCCAAAACGCATAAATCTTAGAGCTTCATGACTTTTACTTTGAAAGGATCAAATAATATTATTATTTAAAAAAATAACTTGTAAAATAATTTAAAACATTTCTTAAGTGTGAAATATTTCAAAAATGGGGTTACAAGTAAAAATTTGCATATGAAAGTTTCTTTTGCACTTCTCAACTAGAAGAAGGGCGGTTAATTTTCTAGAGGTGGAGGGTAAATTTTAATTCGGATAGGGTCTAGACTTTTCCCCCTCCCCACTGCAAAAACTGTATATTATTACGTGTTAAAACATATTTTGATTCTTAGTGGTTAATCAAATCAATAATCAAATAATCAAATCAAATTGTTCTTTTTGTATTCTCTCAACTCTGATTTTTGTTTTCCTCGAAATAGAACTCTTGAAAGTTAATTTGAAAACATGTCTGAACTTCATCAAGACGGATATTTCGTTGCATTTCTCATTTATATTTTTCCAGATAGTATCAAAATTCTTCAAGTTTATTTTGTTGTTTTAAAACTTTAAAATCTACAAATGGTACATAATTGAGTAACAATTTTTACTTATAACTGAGGCACAAACTTTTAAACACAAGTGTAAATTAAAATGTTCGATCAATGCCAGGCATCTACAAGTGTGAAAAACAGTATTAAGATCTAAAAACTTACTTTTTCTGGTCCATGATAAAAGAAGCTATTTTTCAAAAGAATTCTATTTGAAATTAATAGAAATTTAAACATTATTCATGGGGGTTTAAAGGAATTGAGTTTTTGCCACAAACTCTGATTTTCTGATCCTTATCTTTGCAACCCAATTTCGTAAACCTTATTTATTTCCAACTATGAATTATGTTAAATATAAAAATCTAAGCTTGAATATCAAATTCACCAGCACACATACCACCCTCAAATTCCTATAGGAATTCAGAAAATTTCGGGAATTTCCCAAATACCTGGGTATCTGGGAAATTTCCCAAATGCCTTGCTTTTTAGCAAAATTTCCGAGATTCCCCAATTTCCTATTGGAAATTTCGGGAATTTCCCAAATACCTGGGTATCTGGGAAATTTCCCAAATGCCTTGCTTTTTAGCAAAATTTCCGAGATTCCCCAATTTCCTATTGGAATCTGATGGTGGGTATCTGGGAAATTTTCCAAATGCCTGGCTATCTGGGAAAGCCTTAAATTCCTGTCATTTGAGAAGTTTTCAAAATCTGAGAAATATACCACCCTGAAATGAAATGAAAGGAATTTGGGAAATTTCGGGAACTTCCATAATGCTTGGGTATCTGAGAAATTTACCAAATACCCAAGGTCTCTGGGAAATATCCCAAATACCCAGGCATTTGAGAAATTTTCCAAATTCCTTTTTTCTTCAGAAGTAATTGCTTTCGGGTCATTCAATTTGCCTCAAATTTTGATTTGGGAACTCGGGAAAACCAAAGGAATGTTCTTAGCTTGGTCTTGAGGTTCTAAATTATTTTTTCTTTAAACTAAAGAAAAAAATTGAGTGCTTTCTGAACTAAATTATTTGGCGAATTTTTATTCCTATCCTGTCTTGGGAAATGATGGGCTTAAATCAATTTAGGTATGAAAGCCCAGCTCTGAACCTAAAGTGAGGGGCATGTGTTATAGTTAGAAAAGTCAAACATTTTAACTGCCTCAGACCAATACTTTTTGAGTTATCTTCAAAAACGTATCGGTTTAAAAACGACGAAGAAAACACAAAAACGAAACGATCATTTTAAAAACATTCGTTTTTTTTAAAACAGTAGTTTTCAAAAACTATCGTTTTTAATAACGATTTTTTTTGAAAACGATAGTTTTTAAGAATTCCGATCCTTCCTTAACAGGGAGTAGGGTTATAACCTAATATTTCAGTCTTTTGTCATAAATTTTGACCCATTTTTCAGGTCAAAATTTTGTTTGCCTGCGCCGGTCAACTTCTTTACCTATATCTGGGATTTCTTACATTTGTGCCCCCCACTTTACAAATTCCTTGCTACGGGCCTGTGTTTTTCAGTCTATGGAGTAACTATAAATATATGGAATAACCTGTCATCTTCGTTATTAAATTTTATAAAAATGTAAATTGCAAAAACGATATTAAACGTAATATAAAGAGACATTAAAAAAAGGTATGGGTTCCATTTCTGTGCTCAGCTTACCTGTAAATCGTAATAAACACAAACAGCAGTCATTTCACAAATCACAAATCCAAGTGCAAGTTTCTTCACAATTAATAATATCACAATTTTCTTGAATAATGTTAAGTCGCGAACAAATTATATATTTACAGTACACATGTACACTGAAAAAGTATACATATTAAATTTATTAAAGCCAGAGATAAGAGAGTTACAGAGATCGGTTAATTCCTGTAATGTGCGATATTTTCCACAGCATGTTCTATTGTGTACATATCCATGACAAAATGAGGACATAAACATGAACACAATGAGGACGTACATATGAATACAATGAGGATGTATACATGAATACAATGAGGACATATACATGAATAAAATCAAGAAGTATACATGAATACAATGAAGATGTATACGTGAATACAATGAGGATGTATATATGAATAAAATGAGGATGTATATATGAATATAATGAGGTCGTATACATTAATACTAGGTGGACGTATGCATGAACACTAGGTGGACATATACATGAATACAATGAGGATGTATACATGAATACAATGAGGATGTATACATGAATACTAGGTGGATGCATACATGAATACAATGAGGATGTATACATGAATTCAATGAGGACGTATATCTGAATACAATGAGGATGTATATATGAATACAATGAGGATGTATATATGAATATAATGAGGTCGTATACATTAATACAATGAGGACGTATACATGAACACAATGAGGACGTATATATGAATACAATGAGGTAGTATACTTGAATACAATGAGGATGTAAACATGAGTACAATAAGGACACATACATGAATACAATGAGGATGTATACATGAATACAATGAGGATGTATACATGAGTACAATGAGGATGTATACATGAGTACAATGAGGACGTATACATGAGCACAATGAGGACGTATACATGAATACAATGAGGTAGTATACTTGAATACAATGAGGATGTATACATGAGTACAATGAGGACGTATACTTGAACACAATGAGGATGTATACATGAATACAATGAGGTAGTATACTTGAATACAATGAGGATGTATACATGAGTACAATGAGGATGTATATATGAATACAATGAGGATGTATACATGAATACAATGAGGTAGTATACATGAATACAGTAAGGACGTATACATTAACACAATGAGGACGTATATATGAATACAGGACGGCATCGTCTACATGAATACAATTAAGACGACTTTCAAATTCTGTTTTCATTTTTTTCCATCTTCCAGCATATACGCATTAACATGTAAACACAGAGAATGTCTCAATTTAAAGCTTCTCTTCGTTTATTTATAAACTTGTGATATGAAAATTGCATTATTAATATTGTAGCTTATTGGAAATGGAGACTAAGGACTTGTGTCAAATCAACCTAAATATTGAAGGTTGTAATCATTTACACAGAATAGATTGTCCCTGTAATTTCAAGTGACCAAGTTTCCAGTTTGAAGCGAGGCATGTCTGATTCACAATGAACCACTTTAAACCTTTGTCTTTGTTTTCAGATTTATTCTATGTTGAAGTGACTTGTAGATGTTGAAGCAGCGAAAATGGTGGAAATTGTCAGAATTCAACATCAAGATAAAAAGAAACTATACAGGGTGTCCCAAAAAACATGGGAATTCAGTGACGAATTCGATGTCGTCTTTTTAAATAATTCTTTGATTTAGTATAGTGATACCAACTGAGAAAGCTTTAATCTGTAAGAGTTTCGTCTGCTATGTTTACATTTTGTTTGTTTATGTTTTGACTGCATACGGTTGTACTTAGTAAAACAAGAAAATTGCAGTATACAAACAGAGAAAACTTGTCCGTCTGTTCATCTTGCAGATACATTATAGACACATCTTTACAGTCTTTTACCCTTTTCATAAAATAAACTCTAGCAGACATAATAATATTATGGCTTTTGAAATTAGGTATTACAATGCTAATTCATAGCAAAGACGATATACTATTCGTCACTGAATTCCCATGTTTTTTGGGACACCCTGTA